AAACAGAGAAACACATTAAGAACTATTAAAAAGCTTATACTGATAATATTCTAAAGATAAACCCTTGTTAATTTGCTTAAAATATTATACAAAAATATTAAACAACTATTTAATATTGTGTTAAAAACAATACAAATAAAAAAACCTTTAAAAATTTCCTTATTATCCTTTTTCCAATATATTCCCTTTTAAATTTCTGCAAATATTTTAAATTCTTTCTTTGTGTTTTAAAAATTAAAAACGAATTTTCTCCTTGTGCACCTTTTACCCCCCTTCTTTTCTCACCCAGAAAAAAATCCAAAAGAAATTATAAAAACCCAAAAATAAAACAGAAAAAAGAAAACCCAACGAAAGAGGTGGCGGCCAGCAAAGGAAAGAAACCGGCCAAAGGCAACCAACCAAAAAATCTATTTTCCAATTTCTGTGCACCCAGGAATAGAGCCCAGAAAACCGAACCGAATTGGGCTAGAGGATTGGAAGTGGCATGCATGCACCAAACTATGGTGTGTCCTCCTCTTCCCCCCTATCTATTGCTCTCTCCCTTTAGCCGTATTGGTTTCTCACTCGCACCGTGTTTCACCCACTTGTGGCGCTTCCATACAACACACAAACTTACACACACACACACACACACACACTATGAATTTGGCTGCCCCACACGAAGGACGATGATGGCGCCCGGCGACTCCTTCGGCGCTTGCAGCGTCATCCTCGTCCCGCAACAACAACAACAACAACAAGTGGCAGTGGAAGTGGAGAAAACTCGTAAAAATGTAACCTAAAAACCGCCAGAAAAAATTCAACAAGAGCCAAGGCAAAGCGAAAACGCAAAAAAATAGGAGAAACTTGTTTGGTGGGAGGGTATCGAAGATAAGGATACCCTTGAGTGGATATTATAAAAAGGGGAGCAAAGTGGAAATAATGTACACTGTACAAAACACTATTATTATTAAAGAAAATATCCATAAATAAAATAAAAAAGTAAAATAAAATTTATCAACTAATTTTGATAAAATTTGGGTTTTAATATGATGGACGGGGAGAGCTTTATATGGAACTCCTCGGAAGAGTGTTTTAGTTACAAAAATTAACTCATTAACATTTTCTTAAACATATAATATTTTGCTGAGTATATTGTTAATTTTTCATAAAATAACGTTTACGACAAAATCCCCTTGAGCTCAGCATACCCAGTACAGGGTATACAGGAGGAAAATAGTTCGTCTGCTGCTGGAAAAGTAGGTGGAGTGCTTATTGCGTAGTCCATGAAATGCTGGCCAGGATTGGGCCACCCCAGTAGACCACCTTCCCTCGTACACACACACACACAAACACACACAGAAGGCAACGCGACGTTGTCCTCGCCGCTTGTTGCATCCTTCTGGCGTAAAAATGCCTTCTTACAGCCAAAGACGGTGGGTGGCAAATCGAGAAGGGTACAGGAGGATGGTGGGTGATGGAAAAGCCAACGCCGACAGCGGCGCCTGCAACGCTATTCTCTCCTGCTTCTTCTCCTGCATTGTTGCTTGTTGTTGGCGTAATCGAAAGATGCGTTTGGCAATGTGGGCGGGCGGGCAAGAATGGCTGGGAAAATGGCTAAAAAGATGGTTAGGAAGGAGACCCAACCACTACATAGAGAGACACTGAGCGGGGGTGTGGGAATGGCCCACAATATTGCCCAACACCTGCTGCTTCTTAATACACATACACTTTCCACTCGCTCTCTCTTTCTCTATATCCTCTTTCCCCCTCCCTCCTTTCAAAAGGAATAAAAAAAATATATATATGTGAAGCTTGTTGCTTTCGGCCACCCCTCCTCCCCATAGTCATTATAATGCATCTCTTTCTCTTCTTTATATATTCGAGATTTTTTCCTTTTATTTATTTAATTTTTTTTTCTTTTTTTTGCATTTTTTTTCGTAAATAAAGGCAAAGCAAAAGTTTGGCTTTTTAATATGTTTACACCCCGAGTGGGGGGGAAGAGATTTCCAGGCAAACAAACTAAACAGAATGGTTAGGGTTGGGGGATAGTGGAGCTGCAGATGGGATTCCCCTCCCCCGACTGGCTATGCAACAAGTTAGATCCCTGTTGGGGTTTGTTTTCTGCTGCAGAGGCAACTTTTTCGTAAGGAAATAACATACAAGCTTAGGAAAATATTTGCAAGAGTTCTTTATTACCTTCAGCCTTCAGGTAATGGCTTTATCTGGTTTAAATCTTTAAGGGAACATGGTATCTTAGGTAAAGATAACCTTTACAAAACTTTATTTTGATTTTTCCAACCAAATATTATGATTTCGCTTCGAAATTGAAACTTAAAACTAACAAATGCAAATTATTAAATATGTTTTGAGAATTAAAACGCCTTGATTATAACTGAAACTGCATATAACCTTGAAAATAAAACATATCAAATATATTTTGGGGGTTTAAATGTTTGGAAAAAAATGTTTGGAAAAAAACCTTAGCCTGGGTCTGGTCATTTGGTAATATCCTTAAACTCATATCCCACAATCTTCCCAAATAGAGATGCCTAATAAAAATTCATTTCGAGTAGAGAAGACCTCCAATTCCCCAGACATATTTACCTCATATCCGCCTCCCATCGAAAATTACCTTTCTACAGCTTATATAATTTGGTTAGTGTAATCTCCTTTATGCCAAAGCTGGGGTCTGGCATCCAGATGGTCGCCACCCAAGCACACCAAGCACAAAGACACACAAAGACACACACCTGAATCCACAAGTGGATGGGCTCCCATTACAATCAAATGAAACTCCACCACTGATTCACTGATTGAGCCATTGCCATGAGCCGTCGTCGTCTAACAACAACAGTTGGTTGGGGAAATGAGTGGGGGAAGAGTGGGTGGAAATGGTTGAAAATGGGTAGAATAGGGGAGTTGTGTTTTTCGAGCAACAGGCGAGATTTTCTATCAACACCCCCTGAAAAACACCTAGCCCCGACCCAGGCCAACCAACCATCGTCTTTGTCTTCCTCTTCAGTTTCGATCAGCATCGTTTTTCCGGGTGGCAAGTCGGGGGTGAGGGAGAAAGACTAAAAAAAAAAATCGTCAAAAAGAAATGCAGGAAAATTCGTTGGCGACGAAAATCGGCCACAAAAACAGGCGAGGAAAACGCTAGCTAGCTCGCTAGAAATGCTCGCTCCTCGTTGGCTCGTCCTTCGGCTCGGCTTCGTACGTTTGGTGGATTTTCCTCTAGATTTCAACCATTGTTGTTGTTGTTGTTCACCCACTTCACCCCCCCCTCCCCCAACCAGAGTAGTTTTCCTCACTTTTCCCTTGCTTGCTTCTGCTGCCTTTTCGGCTTTCGGCAACGGAGGCGGCCAAACGCATTCGGCACTCATCGTCTGCAATTTTTATATTGTGCAATATATTTCGTAGGGATATAGTGGTGGCGCCACCTAACCTCCAGTCCCCCTCCTCCTCCTCCTCCAAAACTGCGCATGTGTGCGTGTGCTTAAGTGCGCTTCGTTATCTCCGGCAGAGCACTTCGTTGTTTTGGGCACGAAACTGCAGGGACCACCCATCCTTAACCCACTGCAGTTAGCTGTAGGAACTAACCCGAAACCCAAAAGAGAGAGAGAGAGCGCTTCCCCCAAAAGCCAGACACCGACAACCTTACGTACATATAGATATATATGTATCTATATCTATATATATGTATATGTATATCCTTCCTTCTGTTTTTTTTTTTATCCTGGTTTCCTTCACATTTTTGCTGCTGCTCCTGCACGAAGCTGCTGCTTCGTGGAGCCGAGCAGAAATTGTCGCTGGAAAAATGTGCTAAGGGTTTTCCTTCTGGGGGAGGAGGGTAACGTAACCACTGGAAGCGGTGCCTCGCCACCTCTCCCCTAGTGTCTGTGTGTGTTTGTGTGGGAATGTCAACTAGAAACAAGGACGATAAGCATTATGGAGCGCATTGAGGAAGTAATTGAGTGCACGAGACAGGGACGCAAGGACGAAAGACGACGATGTGTTTGTGTGTGCCAGCGTCAGGAAAAAAAAAAGAACCGTACTTACATATATATATTTACAGTATATTTGTACATGGCTAGGCGGCTTTTATATGTATGTACACAGTCCGCCCACCTCCTCCTCCTCAACGCCTTTCACAGCAACAAAGGGCATTTAACATTTTAATGTGGGAGTGTGGGTCCTGTGGGTCCGCTCCTGGTGCTAAACGTGCTCAAAAACCGAAATGAGTGTTTTCAGGCAAAAGGATAAGGCCGAAACCGTAGCAGGAGCCGAAGAAATATATATATGTATCCAAAAGGATAACCACACGCAGCATAGTCACAGCAATTTATGTTAATTTTTCCTCGGCCAGACTCACATTTTTTTCGAGGTGTTTTTTTATACCTTTAGTTCAGACATATGGCGTCTATACTGATTAGGTTTCTCTGGCTAAAGTCAATTTCTGGTGGAGGCAAAGACCCGAGTTGGATTGCTTCATTTGCCATTTGCAAGGACCAAATCCCATTTGCGGTGCTAATATGGAAGATGGGGTTAAGGTGGGGTAGGGTAGGGTTTTATATACCGATAGATAGATACTACTACATCGGAAAGAGCTCTTTTTGGCACAACACAAAAAATATTCAGCTTTCAACGGATTTTAATTGGATAAAAGAAGGCTTAAAGGAAGTTTAATGTAAACGTTTGGAATGGAGATAAAAAGTTTTTAGTAAAGTAAAAGTGAAAATCAAGAGATTTAATTAAGGGGTTTTACCTTAAAATAAATAATTAGATTTTTAAAATGTATACTTTAAATAGAATAATTACTTAAATATATATTTTATGCTTAGAATCCCCTTTATTACCCCTTGCAACACAATAACAAGGCTTTAAATTCTATTAAATTTTTTTAGAAAAACCTACGACTACCTCATTAAAAATCTTTAATTTCTTAACATTTATTTCACATATATTTAATTTAATTTTAAACTTTAAATATATATTTAAATTATTAAAAATAGACTCACCCACAATGTGCATCATATCCTTGGACCATTTCAACAGTTCCCTTTTGATGAGCCGACGCTCCTGCAGACATCTGGCAAATGAACATTCAGCCATATTTGGCAGATATAACCAATATATATATAAACAAATATGTATATAGAACCGACAACTGTACCTGCAAATATAACAAGCACGAATTAGCTGGAAGCGACAAAAATCGGTTTAGTGAAAAACGAACAACGAAAAAAAAAAGTTTCCCCAATGGAAATGAGCGTTAATTTATTAAATCTATAATGCGCCATATAAAATTTCATTTATCGTTGTTGCTATTATTATTATTCTTGTTGTTGCTGTTTTTGTTGTCGCATTTTCGAACGCTACAAAATGATTAAACGAGTTTTGTTTCAAGGTTATCGCGAAAACACACAAAACCTGTTGCACTTTAGATTTGTTGTTGTTTTCCCTGTCTTATTATTTCATATGCTGAAAATTTATTTATTTTTCTAGATTTTTTGTTGTTGTTGTTGCATTCTTGCTAAGCCGCCGCCGCCGCCAGTTTGTATGTTGTTTTTGCTTACGTTGCAGTTCTAGTTGCCGCTGATGTTGTTGTATTTTGTGGTTTTTTTTTTTTTGCAAGTATTTGTGGGGGCCTTTACTATTCGGGCAGCTACCAGTTTTTGATATTTCCTAGTTGCCAAAGTACAGTGAGTTTCAAAGAAATAGGTTTGGGTTAAAATGAAAGTCTGAGAAACCATATTTCAGGCTTATTTTTCAATATAAATTATCTTTACTGTTTTACTTTTATTTTTTTACCCTTGTGAAAATGGAAAATAGGTGAAATTCGACTGATTGGGGTATTTACAAGGAAGAAACTTGATAAACTTTTAAAATTAATTTTAAAATATTTCAGGAAAGAAAATAAACTTCTAACTTAAATTATTGTACCATTCAAGGGTATAAATATTCCATTTACAAGCTCAAAATGTTGAAATATATAATCTTTTTAATATAAGTACATAAACTTTTCCTTGTTCCACAGATTTTAGTTTTATTACCTTTTTAATTTGTAACTTTATTAGGCAATTTTAAAATATATTAGAAAACTTATTTATAAATATTTCATTTATAAGTTAACTCCAAAATACAATTACTTTTCCCTTTGAAATATTATTATTCCTTGAACTTTAAATGCATTTTTCATATATTATCTCAACAGCCTTATCATCCCGAAACTCACTGTTGCAATTGAACAAGTAGATAGCAATATTTCTTACTGTTTAAGCTGTCTATTACATTAATTTATTCAAATGCCGTTGTCGCTGCTGTGTCGCTTTGCATTAAATTAGTTTTGTTTCGTTATTAAACAGTCGTAAATTGCGAAACGTGTTTGGGATTTTGCTATGAGTTTGGCTAACTCAATGAGTCCCACTCGGAGTGTATCTGTAATGAGATTCATCGCTGGCTCTTATAGGGAATATAATGCCAGCCTATTTCGGGTAATTTTCAGGCAGGTTCACTACTAAGGGGTTTTTTAGGTTTAGTTTTCGGGGGCAATGAAAAATGAATGAAAAATCCCAGCCTATAATTGGCTGTTTTCCACCGATAAATGATTAAATCTGATGGGCGGCAATTTGAGGGGAGACTACAGCCTAGTTCCTAGCCTATTCCCTCTATTCTTTGCATCCGCCATCTCTATGACAGCCACTAAATTTTCATGTTTACCTCAACGGATATTTGCCTACCCGAAAACCAAAAAAACCGGCTCAGTGGCCAGTTTGCCAGCCTCCCCCCTTTGAAGGAAATTACAATAGCAGTGGAAAAAGTAATTGAGATTCTAATATCAGATAGCAGATATGCTGATGTTGGCTTACATGACCAACCAGCAGCTGCCGCTGCTGCTGCTGCTGCCACTTGCTACTGCGAAATAGTAAAACTGGTAGCCCAAAGAGAGTTTTCAAGATGTTTACGCTGATGAAAAATTACTCCAGCTGCCATTGCCACAGGCAGAGGCAGAGTCAAAGTCGAGGCCTTAGCCTTAGCCAAGTTAAAGCCCAACAGAGCCCGGCAGGTTGGCTTGGGCTTGGGTTGGCGTGCGGAGCAGTAGCCACTTTGTGGGCGTGTCAACGGAGCACGCGGCAGAACAGCAGCCAACTGATGATGGACGTTGATTATGATGGACGTTGCCGGCCTACCAAGAAGAACAAGCCAGGCCAACAGCAGCGGCAGCGACCGATGATGCACCAGCCGATGCAGAATCTGAATCAGAAGCTACGAAAAAAAACCGGCAGAAGAAGCTGCCAGCAATTTGCCAATGAAAGGTGCAGAGAAAAAATATTAACAGGGATTAAATGTTAAGGAAAACGTAAGAAAAACCTATACAAAAATTATTTTAAATTAAGTTTTTAGATTATACTATTTTTTAGAATTTTAATATATTAAATATTCAATAGATTATATATTTTTGAATGTTATCTCATAAAGAAGAACACCCATTTTTCCACCGTGTTCAAACCCAGCAAGAACAAGATGGTAGATTGAGCGATTCTTAGGGCCAACCCACCGCCTTCTTTTTGGTATTATTTTAAGTAATTTTCTAATTAAAACCAAATCAAGTTTTCCCCAAAGGAAATGCCAAACATTCCCGGCAAACCCAACCACATCCGTAGATACAGCTGGACCTGTCACACACGAATATGCAAAGTCAATGCTTATTCTGAGCTCTGCGGCTTCCTGCCGTCGCATCAGAGACAGAATTAGAATCAGAATCAGAATCGGTATCAGAAATCGGAATAGGAATTGGAATCTCAGACGGAGGAGAACTCTACATATGTGTTACAGATACAAAAAGCTGGAGAGGTGGGGAGGAACTCATTCACTCGAAAGCTTTTTATAATAAATGCCACAAGTATCTGGTGGCTGTCGGTCTCGGTATTTGTATCTCGCTCGCCTGCATTTGATTTCATAAATAAAACAAAATATCAAGGCCGCCCTGCCAGCTAGAAACTTGTAGCCATACTATACAGTATACAATATATATAATATATATAGAGTGTGGCTACGGAATATATGGAATACGAAATCACAAAAAATGGCAGCAATTGATTGGCTGGCCAAAGGTTCTGAGCCACGACAGATCACACAAAATGTGCTGCCTAGAACGAAACGAAACGAAACGAGTTAATATCAATTGGATTGGTTTTGGCCCGGCTAGCAGTTGGGACTGCAATTGGCTGTGATGGCGGTGATCTGGGCACAAAGTGCATTTCGGCCAGCTAACCAGTTTTCAGCCACTCTCATTAGCTCAAAGTTTAAGTTTAAGTTGAAGTTGAAGTGCTTTTTGTACCGAATTTCAGTACACAAATAGTGGCCAATGTTAAGGCCTTGAAAATCGATTTTAAAACGAGTGTAGTATGCATTTTTGCATTGTTCCAATTGCTAATATAAATCTCCCGCTTTTTGTTATTCTAAATACTCAATTTGCATGGCCATTATTTACACTCACTCCGTTTGCAATTCATATTCATATTCATATTCGATCAATGCATTTATAACTAATTTATCGTTTTTTGCGTCCGCCTGGCAAAAGGCGGAAATAATCACTTACAATTCACTTTACTCTGTTTTTTTTTTTTGTTTCGCCCCCAAAGTGTTCTCATAATTTTATTAATTATTAAAGATTTACTTTCTAGAAAATTTGTTTATGGATTTCCATGGCGCCTGGATTGCATGATCTTTTTATTGAGATATTGTGATCGACCTTCGTCCGTCTCTCGCATTGTAAATTGCGCTAATTAAAGTGCTTTAAATTGTGCAAATATGTTAATTCCGATAAATTTGAATGGGAATAATATGTTAAGCAGTGTGCAAACACAAAAAAACACGAGGAAGCTCGTTGGGTTTTAAGGGGAAGCTTTTAAAATATATTAGAATATTTTAAGCAAAGGAATGTGTTCTAAGAATACTTGCTTTTATTTTTCTGAAGGTCTCCATTACATGTGTTAATGTAGTAATTTATTCATTGGGCGTGAAATAAAGTTAGGAGTATTTTTTTTGAAGATCTAACTTCCTGCTAAAATAAATTTAAGAGGGCTTAAAATATTTTAATAACAATTTTCTTAGCGAACAACTACAATTAATTGATTGGATTTTTTATATTTGAGTTAATAAATACTACTACTTTTATTCAAAGCTCATTTTTCTTCTATTTCGGCCACCATGTCGTATGAGTAATATTTATTTACGCTTGCCTTTTAGCTAGATCTTCTTCATCTGCCTTTGAGATATCCGCTGACCCTGTGGCGCTGACATCTGCTGATTAGAGATCATTAGCCATTATTTGTCATGACAACTCTCACCTGTTGCCAGTTGCTGCGGGCGTGTGCAACTGCAAGTGCAACATCAACTAACTGAGGCAAGATGAGCACGCGCCACCACCAACAACAACAACACAATGACAGGAAGATCGAAAACGAAACCAAAGTCAAGTTGTTGTTGCTGCCTGCTCGTTGTTCGCTGGTTGGTTACTTAACTGGCCAAGTAACTTGGCCAACAGGCTGAAGCTGAGGCTGCCGCTCTTAGCTCAGTTACAGTAACACACATTCGCAGTGGCTGCTGCGGCCATTGTATGCAGTCAAGCGCATTTCCATTTCTAACGTTGATCTGCGATCTGCGGCCAGCTCCGAGCCTGGTTACTAAGGTCGAGCCTTACTACGTTCATGGCCCAGCTCACCTACAAACCAAGAAAACGAAAAAACGAACAAAAAATACACGACGAAACAAGCCAGCCAAGAAAACACGAAAAAAAAAAATACAAATATAAAGCCAAGGAAAGACAAGTTTAGAGGCGGTGTGCTTGTGCCAAGACTTGCCATTGGACTTGCTCTTGGCTAACTTGGCCTGCGCCCGGGCGTCTTGGCCATTATCCATTGGCTGATTTATTGTCCATATGGGCAGATTGCTCTTGACCTCAATGGTGTGCCTTGGCAACAGTCGAAAACTGAATTTCCTTACACAGTTTTGGGACACCTTTACTTGAATTATCAAAGATGAAAGTTGGAAGAGACTCGTTTTGTTGACCAAACTGCCCAAAAACTTAATTTCCTGGCAAAGTTTTCTCAATGACATTGATGGCCTAAACGGTTGATGTTCTTAAATCAAATAATGAACTTATCAAAG